GCATATATTTGTAATGTGAGGAGAATCTGCAGCATATCATCAGATGATCCCAGTAATCTCCATCATATTGAGCATGGGTCACGTGAACAAATAGAAAACACTCTCCATAGCGTAATAACGTTTCAGAAATTTTATTTCAACAAAAAACTGTATAAAAAAAAAAAAACCCATAAAAACTGCACTCACATTTAGTAAGCACAAAAAAAGCCTTTTAAGTTAACTGTTTCCAGCCTGCAGCGCTTAGTACACTGCTTGCAACACACTGTTATTACGCTATGGAGAGTGTTTTCTATTCACAAGTGACCCATGCTGAATATGATGGAGATTACTGGGATCATCTGACGATTTCTAATGATATGCTGCAGATTCTCCTCACATCTATTGATTACAAAGATATGCTGTTTTTTTTTCACCAATATCTGGTGAGTTTGCACTTTGATGGGGTGTTGAGCACTGGAGTATTTACGTTTGTGGAGGATTGAGTTTTTTTGAAAGAAAGATTCCATAACGTCATTGAAGGAAGATCATATAATATGTACCGTATTTTTCGCTCCATAAGACGCACCTGACCATAAGACGCACCTAGGTTTTAGAGGCAAAAAACAAGAAAAAAAATATTCTGAACCAATGGACTGCAGACATAGTACAGGGGATGACCAGAGACTGCGGACACGGTACAGGAGATGACCAGAGACTGCGGGCACGGTACAGGAGATGACCAGAGACTGCGGGCACGGTACAGGAGATGACCAGAGACTGCGGGCACGGTACAGGAGATGACCAGAGACTGCGGGCACGGTACAGGAGATGACCAGAGACTGCGGGCACGGTACAGGAGATGACCAGAGACTGCGGGCACGGTACAGGAGATGACCAGAGACTGCGGGCACGGTACAGGAGATGACCAGAGACTGCGGGCACGGTACAGGAGATGACCAGAGACTGCGGGCACGGTACAGGAGATGACCAGAGACTGCGGACACGGTACAGGAGATGACCAGAGACTGCGGACACGGTACAGGAGATGACCAGAGACTGCGGGCACGGTACAGGAGATGACCAGAGACTGCGGGCACGGTACAGGAGATGACCAGAGACTGCGGACACGGTACAGGAGATGACCAGAGACTGCGGACACGGTACAGGAGATGACCAGAGACTGCGGACACGGTACAGGAGATGACCAGAGACTGCGGACACGGTACAGGAGATGACCAGAGACTGCGGACACGGTACAGGAGATGACCAGAGACTGAGGACATAGTACAGGGAAAATACCAGGGACACAGTACAGATGACCAGAGACTGCAGACAGTGCAGGGGATGACCAGAGACTGCAGACAGTGCAGGGGATGACCAGAGACTGCTTACCTTTGGGGAGGGAGGGGAGTGGGTACCTGAATTTGACAGGTACCCGCTCCCACTTCCGCGGAGTTGTCTTTCCCTCTTCTTCCCGCGCCGGCTTCTGTGACAGCCGGGTGCCCACTGCGCATGCGCGAGAAGCGCTGCGCTTTGTGAATGGCCCGGGGCCTTCTGGGACCTGTCGTGTCCCAGAAAACACTGGACCATTCACAAAGCGCAGCGCATGCGCAGTGGGCACCCAGCTGTCACAGAAGCTAGCGCGGGAAGACTGTGCAGCGCTGGAGCGAGGAACAGGTAAGGCCCTGCAGGAGAGAACAGCTGAGCGGACGGCCCGGTATTCTGATATGGTGGCGGCAGAAATACCGGACCGGCCGCTTTATATTCGCTGGACTTTATGTAGGATCAGTTATTTGATTTTCACTATATATATGTTTTATATTTTGTGTCACACAATTTCACTTTATTTGGTGGTTGTGGGTTTTTTTTTCAGTTTATTCATTTAATTTATTTTGGTTGTAATTTGAGAGCGCTGTTATTGTGGTCTTTCACATTTATTTTTAAGTGCCAATACTGTTTTAAAATGCAGGAATACGGTGACTCACCCTGCTGAGCATATGTTCAGTTGCTCTCCATTTTTAGGCACTGTGCCAAATTTGTAGAGGCTTATCTGCTGACATGCTAAAAATTAAAGCAGAACTATCAATGTAACTGTTTAAAAAAAAAAAAAAAGTTACATTCCTGGCATGCCAGGGATGCTAACTGTATTATTTGCTTGTGTTCTGAACCAAACTGTCAAATCATCAAATATCGGGTGTTATAACTGGTCATATGGGCAGCACCGTTGCAGCTGCATATCAAACTGATGGTAGGTTCCTTGGCTGAAAAGGATAGCAGGGTTTAGTTCTGCTTTAACTGCTGCTCGGAGCGCTGGGCTTCAACAAAATGGCAGCCTCTAGCAAGAAGAAACAGGAACAATGCTGGAGGTAATTTACAGCACTATAATTTTGGCAGCATAATTATTAATGTGGAATGTATGTTCCTTCCTAAAGAACGATATATAATATTTTTTTTTTTTTTTTTAATCGTTGGTAAGGTACTGCTCTATTATTTCCAGTGCTGTGTTGAAAGGCAAAGCAGTTGGTTACCGTTGAATTTTATAAAATAGCAGAATGTGGCATTGTGACCCTTATACTGAAAAGTGTGAAATATCTGGGAAAATCTTAAGATTGTGTATAAATTTTTCTTGAGCATGCTAAAAAGAATCTGGTTGACTGCACAATTGCTTTTATGAAAAATCATAAAAGCAATTCCAAATACAGGATAGGACAGCAGATCCAGCTCACGCAATTCATGCGTAATATAGTTCAGCGTTTAATATAGCTGGATCTGCTGTCTTTCTACCCTGGTGTTTTTTTAGTTTATTTTATGATTTTTCAAGAATAAAGGTGATACAGTGCTTTCAGAAAGTATTCAAAGTGCTTAACGTTTGCCACATTTTGTTATGGTACAGCCTTATTCCAAAATGGATTAATTTTATTTTTTTCCTCAACGTTCTACAAACAATACCCCATAATGACAATGAGAGAGGTTTGTTTTGAAATCTTTGCAATTTATTAAAACTAAAAACTGAAAAACACATCTACAGAAGTATTCACAGTCTTTGCCATGACACTCAGAATTGAGCTCTGGTGCATCTTGTTCCCACTGATCATCCTTGAGATGTTTCTATAACTTGATTGGAATCCACCTGTGGGAAATTCAATTGATTAGACATTATTCGGAAAGGCATAAACTTGTACAGTGCATGTCAGAGCACAAACCAAGCCATGAAGTCCAAGGAATTGTCTGTAGACCTCTGAGACAGGATTGTATCAAGGCACAGAACTGCGGATGGGTACAGAAAACTTTCTGCGGCATTGAGCACAGTGGCCTCCATCATCCGTAAATGGAAGAAGTTTGGAACCACCAGGAATCTTCCTAGAGTGGGCTGCCCAGCCAAAATGAGAAATTGAGGGAGAAGGGCCTTAGCCAGGGAGGTAACCAAGCACCTGATGGTCACTCTGAAAGAGCTCCAGCGTTTCCCTGTGGAGAGAGGAGAACCTTCCAGAAGAACAACCATCTCTTCAGCACTCCACCAATCAGGTCTGTATGGTAGAGTGGCCAAACGGAAGCCACTCCTCAGTAAAAGGCAAATGGCAGCCCGCTTGGAGTTTGCCAAAAGGGACCTGAGGGATCAGACAATGAGAAACAAAACTCTGGTCTGATGAAACAAATATTGAACTCTTTGGCCTGAATGCAAAGCGTCATGTCTGGAGGAAACCAGGCACTGCTCACCACCTGGCCAGTACTATCCCTACAGTGAAGCATGGCGGTGGCAGCATCATGCTGTGGGAATTTCTTTTTCAGTGGCAGAAACTGGCAGACAAGTCAGGATCGAAGGAAAGATGAATGCGGCAATGTACAGAGACATCCTTGATGAAAGCCAGTTCCAGAGCTCTCTGGACCTTAGACTGGGACAACAGTTCATCTTTCAACAGTCAATGACCCTAAGCACACACTCCACATAACAGGAGTGACTTACAGGCCAATTCTGAATGTCCTGGAGTGGCCCAGACTTGAACCGATTGAACATCTCTGGAGAGATCTGAAAATGGCTGTGCACTGACGCTCCCCATCCAACCTGATGGAGCTTGAGAGGTACTGCAAAGAAGAATGGGAGAAATTGCCCAAAAAAAGGTGTGCCAAGCTTGTAGCATCATACTCAAAACGACTTGAGGCTGTAAAGGTTCTGCAACAAAGTATTGAGCAAAGGCTGTGAATACTTATGTACAGTTTTTATTTTGAATAAATTGCAAAGATTTAAAAACAAACTTCTTTCACGTTGTCATTTATGGGGTATTGTTTGTAGAATGTTGAGGAAAAAAATGAATTTAATCCACTTTGGAATAAGGCTGTAGCATAACAAAATGTGGCAAAAATTAAGTACTGTGAATACTTTCTGGATGCACTGCATCTTTGGACGTGTGGCCAACCAGATTTTTCTTCTACTTACCATGAAGCCTGTGACGGACAGGGCCAGCACCTGATATTGTGATTGGTCAAGATGGAGTGTAATGCAGGCCATAGATGGGTCGAACACCGGCTGATTTTTCAAATGATAAATGAAAAATCGGTTGTTCTTTCGGCTGACGTTACCACCACAGATTAAAACAATTGTCCGACTAAATCATAAAGTTCACCCCATAACTTGTGTCCCTTGCAGGTCACAGCTCATGTGCAGATTTTTTTATCGTTAAAAACGATCGTCCGATTTGCCCATCATTGCTGGGAAAATCGGCCGATCGTCCAAATCGGCCTCAAATTTCCCAACATAACCGATAATCTGAAAGTGCAAAAAAGCCGACGAACTAATCCACTAACGGTACGAAAATCAGACGATTTTTCTTTCGGACGAAAAATCGGGCGATTAACGACCCATCTATGGCCTGCATAAGGCTACCTGGAGCGGTGTCTACGTTTTTTTTTTTTTTTTTTTTTTTTTTGGAGTATTTCAGTTTTAAATTATTACTGTGAGGGTTTTGTGTACTAAAGCTCTTATAAGCTCCACATTTTGGTGTCTTTGTTTTTCCCTTTTACAGCATGATGTAGACGAACTGCGCAGGAAGAAAGAAATTACTGTCAGAGGTGTAAATTGTCCAAAACCTATATATGATTTCCATCAGGCTAATTTTCCTCGTAAGTTAACTTGTTTTGTTTTTGCTTAACTTTGATTTGTTACATACTTCATCTTTTTAATTTTGTTAATTTTTCAGAGTATGTTATGGATGTGCTCCTTGACCAGCGTTTCAAAGAACCCACACCTATTCAGTGCCAAGGATTTCCCCTTGCCTTGAGTGGCCGAGACCTGGTGGGCATTGCCCAGACTGGTTCTGGCAAAACACTTGCGGTATGTGATTCTTATAAAGTTTCTCTTCCAGCTGCTAAACAAGATCTTTCAGTAACTTCACGTGTGCATGAATAAATTCCTTGCATAATACACTATACTGCAATATATAATTTTTTTTTTTTTAATGTAAGTAGTAATGAGAGAGAGAGAGAGAGAGAGAGATCTATTTCACACACACACCATATTGCCACAAGTATTTGAACACCTCTCCAAATCATAGGATTCAGGTGTATAAAAACGAGCACCAAGGCATACAGATTGCTTTTATAAACATTATGTGAAAGAATGGGTCGCTCTCAGGAGCTCGGTGAATTTAAGTGTGATACTGTGACAGGTTGCCACCTGTGCAATAAGTCCATTCATGAAATTTCCTTGCTACTAAATATTCCATGGTCAACTCTTAGTGGTGTTATAACGAAGTGGAAGCTTCTGGGAACAACAGAAACTCGGCCATAAAGAGCGGGGTCAGCGTTTGCTGAAGTGTGCAGAAGTTGCTGTCTGCGGAGTCATTCACTAAAGACCTCCAAGCTTTGTGTGGCCTTCAGATTAGCACAACAGTTCATAGAGAGCTTCATGGAATGGGTTTCCAAGCTATATAATCACCAAGTGGAATGCAGTGGTGTAAAGCACGCTGCCACTGGACTCTAGAGCAGTGGAGATGTGTTCTCTGGAGTGACAAATCACGCTTCTCTGTCTGGCAATCCGATGGACGTGTCTGGGTTTGGTGACTGCCAGGAGAATGTTACTTGCCTGACTGCATTGTGCCAAGTATAAAGTTTAGTGGAGGGGGGATGATGGTGTGGGGTAGGTTTTCAGGGGTTGGGCTTGGCCCCTTAGTCCTAGCATAGGGAACTCTTAAGGTGTCAGCATACCAAGATATTTTGGACAATTTCATGCTGCTAACTTTGCGGGAACAGTTTGGGGAAGGCATCTTCCTGTTCCAACACTACTGCGCACCAGTGCATCAAGCAAGACCCATAAACGCATAGATGAGCAAGTTTGGAGTGGAGGAACTTAACTGGCCTGCACGGAGTCCTGACCTCAACAGAACACCTTTGGGCTGTATTGGGAGGGGAGACTGCGGGCCAGGCCTTCTTGTCCGACATCAGCGCCTGACCTCACAAATGCACTTTTGGAAGAATGTTCAAACTTTCCCATAGACTCACTCTTAAACATTGTGGACAGACTTCCCAGAAGAGTTGAAGCTGTTATAGTTGCAAAGGGTGGACCAACTCCATATTGAACCCTACGGACTAAGACTGGGATGCCATTAAAGTTCATGAGCGTGTAAAAGCAGGTGTCCCCATTACTTTGTGTGTGTGCTCTCAATTTACATTACCTGCGTGGGCACAAACATTCACATTTCTAGTTGCACTCTGCTGCCTGCTGCAGGTAGTACAGCACTGCCTCCCCAGACTTCCAGTAGGGTTTTCTTGAAGCTTCTATTGAGTGGATGCACACAGCGTTCACTCTAAGCCAGGAGTGCACATGCAAGGGTGGCCCCATAGGCTCCTAGAGATCTGCTTTAGGTCAGCTGTAAATTGCCTCACTTCTCAGCATTTCACGTGTGTGTTTTTTTTTTTTGTTTTCTCCTTTTAAAGTATTTGCTGCCCGCTATGGTACACATTAACCACCAGCCTTATCTGGAGCGTGGGGATGGACCAATTGTAAGTATAGTTTTATTATCATTGTAGCCCTGTGACATAACTGCTTCATGGAGGCTAATCTTACTTTGCATTGCAGTGTTTAGTTCTCGCTCCAACCAGAGAGTTGGCTCAGCAAGTGCAGCAAGTAGCTGATGATTATGGAAAGTCATCCCGTTTAAAAAGCACATGTATATATGGTGGAGCTCCCAAGGGTCCACAGATAAGAGATCTGGAAAGAGGTAAGGTTAAAATTGCATTTTAAAGAAATGAAAACCTTTTCTGCAAGACCGTAGACTGCATAGAAATTGAATAAAAGATTTTATTTCCTGTCTTTGGAGTCACTTGACAGTTGGGTTACACTGCCACCTACAGGAGACTTCGACGCTGGCTTGAAAAAATTGTAGAGCCAGCCCAGGACAACAAACTGCTGTGCTGAAAGGTTTATTTTTGGCAAATTTATTTTTTCCTTCAGGGAAGATTCCTACTACAATGCTGCTGAAGTCCTCTGTTGGTGGACGTCACTCCGGAAAGATCCTGACTTGTAAAGTCAGGACCCACCCCAGAGTCTGGAGTAGCAGCTGGCTCAGTCTCTTAGCGAGTTGCTGAGAGCCTGAGAGCTGCTCCCTCCACAGCCTAGCGCTCCAGTGAGCACGGAGTACAGAATAAACAGCGGCGACTAACAGCCACCGCTCTCTGCTCAGAGTGGCTGTGAGAACTCAGGAATTGGCAGTCATGTGATCCCTCAGTTCTCACACTTGTAGCCAGAGGGGGACAGATGCTGCATCCACTTAGGCAAGTATAAATGTGCAAAAAAAACCACAATCCCCTACTTCCTCTTTAAAGTCTCCTCTTCTCGGGCTCCCTGCCGGTGCTCCTGGCCCCTCCCTCTTGTTGGGTCCCCCCACAGCATGTAGTTTGCTATGGGGGTAACCCCATTAGGTGCGCTCCTGAGCAAAGGCTCTGTGTCCATCCACACAGCCATGGTGTGGCCCCACCCCCTTCCTCTCCTGATTTGCTCACTAGCTGTGATTGACAGCAGCGTGAGCCATTGGCTCCCGCTGGCGCCTCATCCTTTATGCTTAGAAAGCATGAAGGTATAAAACCTTGAGCCTTTACAACCACTTTAATGCATTCTCTGCATAAAGAATCTTTCAATAGTATCTACAGGGCCTCTGCTTTCAGAAAATATATAATGTTTTGGGTGATTAAGTAATTTTTTGTCAGAGATATTTTTTACATGCATGTGTAACATTTAAAAAAATTGTTCTGGAGCCGAACTGGTTAATTCTAGACAGATGAGGAAACAATCCCACTGTACTAGGTGCTCCTACTCCACTAATTATTCTGGTTCTGCCTGCGGAGATCCCCCTAAGGTGCCTGACACCAATGGCCTCAAATTTTGCCCACTGCTAGTCTTTCATCTTCAGAGTCTTCCTTGGTTCTCCATAATTGGCTGCCTCCTCGGTTCCATCATGGGGGGGATTTTACTGTTGTCATGCTGGATTTTATGGGCCAAATAGCACTAATAATTGCTGAACCTGACTCTGCAGGCCATAAACATGCTCTCACGCTTTCTGCAGAATCTTTATCTTTGGTCTCTAAATCTTTAGTGCCTGAAATTCTGATGCTCAGTCTCCCAAGTTCATATGGAATAAACCTACACCTGGGCAGTTGTAGTCTTCTACCATTGCTCCCAAACTAAAATAATTCTGGCACTTTTTTTAATGTGATACTCCGTATGCTTAAAGTTCAAGGGACATCTCATAGCCTCTACCAGTACTATTCTCCATTTAGGCTCAGTTAGGGCTCTTGTTGGTACACCTGCTGTTTTCGGTCGTCCTTTATGGAGACTCCTGACACTAGCCTTGTACCATTTGAGGAGGACTTGCTTAAACAGTGGACTACCCCTTTGTGGATCAATTGTTATCCTATCTTAGTGCATCATACCTCCTAGTGGAGGATGCACCTATCTAGAACTCTGTTCTTGCTGGCAGGCTCCACACTGCAACCTGTCACAGCTTTAAATTATGTGACACTATAGCTGCCTGGCTTAAGTCCTAATGCATTGGATCACTAGGGCAGTTGATCCCTAGCATCTGCAGCTTATACACGCAGCATTGAACTGTAGTGTAGACAGGTTGTTGGAGCTCTTACCTAATCCCTTTTATGAGCCTCCTGTCAGTAAACATAAGAAGATTTTTTTGCATGATTAAACGGAATGCCTTTAAGAAACAATGCCTCTTTTAGCGGGAATGTTTCTCATCAGAAGACCTGATCTTTGACAGGCCCAAATGGCAGAGCCTATCTTTCTGCACTTCCTGTGCTAGCGTTCCTGTTCTCTCAGGGGATCCCCATTACTGTACTGTATATCTACATGATCTCTTGCTGAGGGGAATAAACTGCACAGGTTCTGGTGAACAATGTAGCCCTTTGGACCATCGGACTTTGGGTTTTTCCCAATAAAAAATGTTCTCCTCTCCCAAACGCTAAAAAATTCTCCCCTCCCAAACACTACCTGTTCAGTACAGGAGTGGTCTGACTTTAATTCTGCATGAGTTGGTGTTGATGGTAGCCTCTTTTAGGACAGTGCCATTTGCTCAGTTGCCCTCCAAATGTCTCCAGCACAGCACTCTGACAGTCCAGATATCTTGCTTCTCAGTCAACATTTTGGAGCTTTGGGCGGTTTGCATATCTGCAATATTGGACACCACTGCTGGGAGTCATTGATCTGGATTCAGTTTAAAGGATAAGTTCACTTATTTAAAAAAAAAAAAAAAAAAGTCCATTTTCGTTTGTGTTTTTTTTTGTGTGTTTTTTTTTTTTTTTGTTTTTTTTTCAGGGTTGTGTGCTGAGTGATCAGCAGATGAAAGTGCCATGCAGAAATCCTGCAAACCTGTCAGCACAAGCAATTGATTAACTACCACAGCGCCATGGTAGTTAAGTAAGAACTACAAGCCAACAGCTGCAAAGGCAGTTAAGACTTGTAGTTAGTGTTACTAAACCCACAACAGTAGCATCAGTCTGTATATGCAGTAAAGTATACTTGTTATACTCACTATGGAACTTAAGGGGTTAATCATTCACATTGTATAAAAAGGCTGTTTGATCCTGTCTTTTTTGACCATCCCCTTCTATCCCCAATCCATTAGCTGATAGTACAGAGTTCCAGGAGGCACTCTGCACATGCTCAGTTTAGTGTGTATTGCTAGAGTTTTCTTTTGCTAGGGTGCTTGTAATCGGCACAGGGCCGAACAGCACTGTCCAGAGGGTCAGGGGTTATGCAGCTTCATAGTACAGAGCAGAATGGAAACTCAAAGTTTTAACCAGTGCTCAGCTGGACACTGATATAGGTCACAACACTGCTGATGAGAAAAGGTATTTAGCAGTTTATATTTACTACAGTAATTTTCCATGTTCTGTGTACTGTGTGGGAGACCAGATATAGTGAATACAGGTTCTTGGGTTTAGTAACACTTTTTAATACAGGGGTCTCCAAAGTATGGTCCTCCAGTTATTAAGGAGCTGCAAGTCCCATGAGGCCTTGCAAGACTGATAGCCACAGTCAAGACTCCCAGAGGCAGAGTCATGATCATAGAATTTCAACAGCTGGAGGGTCATACTTTTGAGACCCCTGCTTTAATTCATTCACAGAACTGAATGAATGACATATGGACAGAGCCCTGTACAGCCGTGATGTTTCCAAAAAGTGACAGCTAGTACGGGAAACTTCTGGTACTGCTGTCACAGGGAGAGGGGACAGCGGACAGTGGCTGCAGCAGTAGGAACATGTTCCACCTGTGGTTTTTTTAGTTTGTCTTTATGGGTTTTTTTTGTTTTTGTTTTGTTTTTTTTGCATGGAACAAGTAACATGTTCCCAAAGGTGAACTTATTATCCTTTAACACCATGCCAGTGAAGTACATGAATAAACAGGAAGAAATCAGTCTCGGGTAATTGCACATATTCTGTCTTGGGCAGAACTTCACATTTTTAACTATTGTTATCACCCAGGCATGGTCTGTTGGCAGACAGACTTCCTCAGCCCCCTGTACCTGGCCCTGGGAGAATGGTGCCTACACCTTCAGATGCTTGTGTCACAGGTGGGGCATAAAGTGTGTACGTCCAGGTTCAACAGATTGAAAAGTTTTATCTTTGGGTACAGCGGGAGCAGTAGATTCACTGGTTACATTCCCCCCCCCCCCCCACTGGATCAGTACGCCTTTTCCTCCCCCCTGAAACGCCTCATTCAGGTGATGTGGATCATCTCCCTCAAGGACTGAGTTACCATCCTTCTCTAGTCACAGGCTTTGAACAGCTCAGATTCTGCGGTTTAGGGTTAGATATTCTTTATTTTGCGTGAGACAAACTTTTACCCAGAAAATTCTGTGGGACAAATCCTGGCTTTTTTCAGATAGGCTTGGGCTAACATTTAGCTCTCTGCACCTTTTAAGTGTCACAATTCTGCTTGCAGTCTTGTTCCAGAAACCACTGGCTTTCAATTCCTTAACCTCCCTGGCGATAATCCAGAGTGGCACGGTGTTAATTTTCAGTACCAAAAGCGGTAACCCCGAGCCACAATTACCTTGTCCCTGCGATCCCCCGATGTCCTCCCACTGTGTCCTCCGGTCAGTGCTGGCATCCATCTTCCGGGTTCCCTTCCCTGCGAACGCTGCGATGCAGGGAGGAGGATCCGGCGGGAGATTAAAAAAAGTAAAAACATGACATACACAATACATTGTAATCTGTTAGGATTACATTACTGTATCAAACCATTTCACCTCAGTTTTTTGTCCAGTGCCCTGTCTGCACTTTCAACGTTCTTTCTGCCTGGAAACTTGAGAACGTCCATGGCATCCAAAACGTGTCCCTTTTTAGGTAAAAATCAGTTTTAGACCAGCTACAAAACAGTGACGGTGAATTAAATTCACTTGCAGAATTGAGCGATAGTGATTCGTGGGGAAATTCGTCATCAGACACTGAAATTTCCATGCAAAACAATGTATCGCTTTGACATTCAAAAATATTGACATAATCAGACCGCCAGGGAGGTTAAAGTGGTTGTAAAGGCTCAAGGTTTTTTACCTTTTTGCATTGTATGCATCAAGGTAAAAAAAACCTGTGTGCAGCACTCCCCCCAGCGGGAGTGACTGCTGTCAGTCACTGCCATTGAACCAAAGAGGAGAGAAGGGGGCGGGCCGAACAGCAGCTCCGAGTGTGAAATGGACACGGAGCAGCGGCTCG